ACAGACAACCCCGTGACAATATGCGTTTTGTAACGCTGTTACACAGCACAAAACGCATAAAAAATCCGGATTTCATCATTTTTTGGTTCGGAAACTAGCCATTCTGTACTGTATTATGATGTTCCAACTGAACTAAGCGCTGTATGGCTGTGTTCCTCAATACTTAGCATTGACAGAATTGAACTGGTGATGTTTCCAATTTGACTATATTTAAAAGTTCTCGTAAAAAAATGTGCTGAAGGCAGGAAATCGGGATCCCCCCTCTCCGCCTCCAGTTACTTCGAGGCCTTTTCACTTCCTGGAGGGTTTGCATCCGGAATCATTACCCGGATGGATCATCTGGGGTGCTGAATTTTTAAATACCACTACGAAGGGAAGTGAGAAAGGGACAGGAGAAGGAAGTATGTAGAGATGTGGGGAGCTGTGGAGTGTCAGGGATGCAGAGCGAACGAAAAGGGCAGCGCGCTGCAGAGACGCTGATTGATGGCTGGTGTTGTTACTGGCTCTCGCATGGCTAATTCCAGTCATTAAGGCTACTGTGACATCTCAGAAAAAAGCCTGCAACAATTCCATCAGCTGATAAAGACGCTAGATCTCCCCCCTCTCCCTCTCCTCCAAGGTCTGTAGAATGAATCGCAGCATGCAGCAACACATAACATACCACTGATAAGCACCCCACTTTGCACGACTGCCACTGATAACCTGTCTGACATGACAATGCAAAATACCCCCTCTCCTGTTTGCAGCACTCCCGGAAGACGACGCTTGTGAATCGCTCGCTTTCTCCTCAAAACTTATCAAATGGGAACTGAACTTTTTGCCTTTCTTTTAAAAGATTCAAGGTACAATCATTTTCCATGCTGTCATAACAGTAATGTAAAAAACTTAGAGTATGACAGTGCTTCAAATTTTTTAAATTTTTATTTGGAGTGACTGAAATCGGGCAGAGGCCGAGTCAGACATTCATCACTGTCCGACTCTTCTAATCCTAAAAAGCGTTCAATTTGGCTACTTTCAAACAGAGCGCAAGAGAAATAAAAAAAAAGAAAATTACGAAATTGGACCTTTTCCATGGTGATCGGCGACTTGAAGTAATAAATCTCAGGCTCCAAAATCTCCGAGGATAGCTGGTATGTCTGAAAAACACACACACATATCAGTTAGAAAGGCATTAAAGAGAATGAACAAAAATGTAAACCACTGATTTCTGAGAGTGCCACTAAAGAGAACAACTTTCCCCCTGCGAGGTGCAGTTGTGAGGGAGCACTGGTCTTCACGGACTTCAACTTATCGCAATCGCGCAAATTGCATTTAACATGCACGCCCAACAGGCTGACCACTACTGACCACTGCACGTGCGGACAGTGCAGGGAGGCACCCCCACCTCCAAAATCAGTGCTGCTGCTGGCAGGCGCATGGATGACCCCTCGGAATGCACTCAGGTACCGCAGTGGTCAGTGTTGCAGGCAGT